CCGTGCTCTACAGTCTACTCGCAAACTTTATCGACGCCGTCGCCATACCCATAGTCGCCATCGCTTTGGACGGGTTCGCCACCCTCTTCACTTTCATCGGCGCAATCGTTCTCTCGGCAAAGCTGACAACCGTCAACTGCGCCAACATTGTAAGTACAGGAGCGATTCCTAATGCTCGTGATTGATCAGTTACTGATAAGTACTGTGTACTTGCAGGGCAAGAGACCGTCCGACTGGATCGCCTTTGGCTCCGCCGACACGGAGAAGCGCTGCCGCGAGATTCAAGCCGGCCTCGTCTTCATGTGGTTTCTGTTCGCCACGTTCGCCGTCGCCTCGGCGCTTGCGTTCAGGGAATTCCGGCGGGGCGGCGGATCCGTCCGTGGCCCGAGCCTCGCGAGCATGTCGCAGATCGGCGTGTAGTTCCGCGGCGATCACGCAGATCATGCAAGCAGAGATGACGAAGAGTCCAGACACACGCGGGACTGGGACTTACGATACTAATGAAGGAGACGAATTGGTCGTTCAGCTGGTCGCTCGGCTATCATATGCTATTCTTGTACTGTGTAGGATAAAGGATTTAATAGGATTGAGCCAGGTCGCTCTGTTATGTTTCTCGGGAGGGATGGATTATGGAAGGCAGAGCGTTTTACATGGGGGCATTGTGCACACGGATGGCGGAAAGGTAATGATGGAACGGGACCGAGGTTTTGAACACGAGGCGGTATTAGCAAACAAGCATATTAAGTTATTTTGGCTCCGAGGACGATTTTATGTTTAGACGTTGGGAAGTCGGTAGTTTTGCTTTTCCGACTCAATCATGTAAAGATACCTATAATAAAACCAGTATACGAGAGACGTGCTTCTTGCAATACATTTGCAGTGTCCTATTAGCGACTCGTAGTATTTCTACTTTAAAGACCTTCCGCACGCAGTGCTCAAGTTAATCGTCCCTTCTTAGGGAGTCCTATATACCTAATATGCTGGCTGACAATTACGGTGCAGCTGAGTTCATCCGCGAGTTACTTTGCACGAGTCGTGACGCTATTCAGAATGCGTCGTACACCGAAAAAAATAACAAGTCGGATGGCGAGATGGCCGAGTGGTTATGGCGGTGGTCTCAAGTTAAAAACTTACGCTATTCAATAGCGGTGGATGCCACTGGAGCAATCCTCAGGGGTTCGAGTCCCCTTCTCGTCAGCTTATGTTTTTGCCTGTGTAACAGGTCGCAGGTCGCATTTTTGGGGGGCACCTGCGTGGGTTCGAATCCCTCTCTTGTCAATTTATTTTTGAATATTACATACGGATGGATGGTTGCAATTTTACCGTAATTTTCTTAAACTTGTTATTCTGGTCCATTTGGCTTTGAAGGCTGGTATTTGGTTGTTGAGAGGTAAGGGCTATCTATCTCTTGTAAGGTACCGAGGTCAGTCAGTCTCCTACTCTATGGCGTAGCAGGCGAACACAATTAATTAGGTTACATTATTCTCTATATTTTAGAATGAGCGGCCCATGTTACTTGATTCACTCATAAAACCTTCCATTTAGAACTGGTAAAACCTTATCCTTCATGGCAAATGCAATGCGTCCAATATCTGCGTTTCCCATGACATCTCCCACCTTGACTTCGAGTTGGTTTAATAGGCACAGTCGCTCATCGGTCCTAAAATAAACCCATCCACCACCAAGCCCAAGTCTGGGTCGTTATATGTTAGCCCAAGGCCAGAATCGAAGCGGTTTGGAATTATTAGCCGCGATTCGTATATCAGCCCAATAACACCAAGGGTGATAGCAGTCAGTGAACAGGAAATAGTAAGAGTGGCCCATACAGGGTCCGCCTTATAGATCTCTGTGCTGATGCTTGTATTAGCGATCCGCTGTATCCTTGAAAGTATCGGTGAAGGTCTGTCCAGGCAACTTTGAGCTTTGATGATTTTGATAATACCAGTTTCAGCCCATTTATTGGATCGTATTCAGGGCCCCAGATATCTTGGAGTGACATCATGCGTTCAGTAGGAAATTCCCTAGAGGTGTTCCCGTGTCGAATAACGGTGCCCACGAGATAAAGATGCAAATACGCCTTTAGAACGGCGGGCTGAGAACTGTTCCGCCGTGACTTGCGCGAACAGCTGACTTGCGTTGGCTGAACTTGATGAAAGCGGAACCGGGCCGCTTGAATAGCTTGAAATGGTATCTGCAAGAAGCTGAAAAGTTGATCTATTGGGGAGAAATTTAGAGGCCTAGAAATCCATAGGTGTAATAACTTCTGGCCGCTTGTCCAGCTGAGAATTGCGAACCGACTTTGAGTAGCATTCTTCACCTTTGCATTTAATTCGGACTTCGACATGTTTCTGATATAGGTTGCAAATGGTGGACCAAGAATTATGAATTTGAATTGGTTCAACCTCGTTTATTGCATGGATTTTGAATTTGCTGCATCATATACCCAGACGTCGACAGCAAGGAGTGTGGAATTCAAAGCAATTTGTCCCGCAGCGGGCATTGAATTCGGTGCGCCTAGCCCAAGAACACTTTTTGATCGAACTTGGAGACGTCCCAGGTGGGGCAGTCGAGACATGATAATTGAAAGTCAAGGCGGGCATTATCTGGCTTGTCAGGATTGAGTACGGTTGGTCTTAGACGATCACAAGAAGCACCGATGTATGAAGTGCAGTAGGAAGCTCATGGATCGCAATACCAAGTGGGGAGGAATATGAATCCACGCCCTTCAAGCCCGTGGTGTCCAACCAAGTGTCGGGGCCTTCTGGGATATTAAGGTCTTCTATTCGAGGAATCTTGGCAATTTGGCAGGTAGCAGTTCGACTCTCAAGTGTATCCCAAGATTGGGCCATGACTGTGTAGAAATCCTGTTCAAATTTGTTGGCTGTCGCACTTCGAATGTAAGATGACTCGTCGTCTCAGGATCAGTGTAGAAGAGAATGACGCAAAGGACCAGTATCTAGGTATCTGATAGCATTTTTTGAACTTTCGATTCGCTGAGTCGTATATAGCATCCAGAAAGACGCCTGGCTCCCAATTGGCGACAAGGCCCATAGGGCGATTGATAAGTCAATCAATCCGGATTGATGGAATATGCTTGTGATAGCGTATGAGCATCACCGATACTTCTTGTAATCATTAAATAATAAAGAGTCTATAAATCTGTAAACGGGTTGATTATCGTTTTCCCTTACGAAAAGTTGGGACACGAAAGGCTCTTACTCCTATTTTGACTCCTCGCTCGAAAGGTAACCTGCCTATAGACTGAAGAGCAGTCTTAATGACCAATGCAAATATGACGGGATAAGTCGTGGGAGCCTTGCGTTCTGGATTAGAGGTTGTGCCTTCTCAAGGGCAGTTACACATACAAGTTGGGATGGTTTTTCGACGATGACACTCCTAGTGCATGGGGCCGTCCGGCCATTTAAAATCAACGCTACGATACCGAAGACTACCTTTAACTATTAGCACGAGACATCGAAGATTTTAGTTGATGCTTATTCTCACTAACATATAACAAGAGGAAGGTCATTGGTAGCAAAGTCCATAAATGTAGTGAAGACTTTGCCGTGATTTGTAGTAGATGTGTTAGCCAATGTTGTAGGTCGTAATCCAGTAGTTCGGCTTGATCTAGTTTTTTAATCGTTCGATTCATAATTGGTTTCACACATTCAGAGGTATCGTAGACATTTTCTCATCTGCTTTTATAATTGTTTATAGTAGGACAGTTAGTGTTTTAATGTTTCATACAATACCTAAAAAAGCAAAATGGCCGAGTATTTAATTATAGTGTTCGAACCACTTTGGGGGCTTAGAGATCTACTTTGCAGACATTACTGCATCTCCTCGTCTTTTCGTTTCTTGAAGGGGCTCGGGATGCGGCCCCTCCTGCCATCATCACCTGGGTCCTTCCGTATCATACCATATCATGTTGCAGAGGACATGTGTAGGCAGTCACTTGCAAGGCATACTTAGTCCACTTCCACACTCGATAGATTGAACTCTCCCCATCATCTTCCTTGTCTTCATATGCATATATTTATAGATGGGATGAATCGTCAGGTTGTATGTACCCTGGAAATGCAACTCCATTATCTTCAACATGTTTCGTTCGGGTCACTTTGACGGAGTGTCTGTAACAGGATATCCTCCTTAACTGCGCCGTGGGGAGTCTACCATTGCAAAACAGGTGTTATATTCCACCTTGTGCTCTCCATCGACAAACTATCACACGAGATAGTGTTATTAGCTATTTGAGAACGTTCTCCTACTAGTCCCGTACTGAAGATGCATTGGCAAAGAAGGCGTAAAAGAGGCGTCGGATATCTTTATGACGATTGACTACTTGATGGAACCATCATAGCTGGAGCACGGGCTGCTGTATGGCCACGGGTAAACCATCCAACATCGCCATCGGCGGTAGGGCTGGAAAGCTCCATGTCTGCAGTTGCTCTCGTCAACTTACTTGTCTCCATCAAAAGACCAGCACGGAAATCTCTACATTCAAAATCGACTTTTCCATCATTCCGGCTACATGGGACAGGAAGGGAATATGGAGACTACTGATCAGGGCTATGAGTTAAAACATTGGCGTCAATTGCCTCGAAAAACTCCCGTCTAATAAGCTTTTAGCTTCCTATACTAGTAGCTGCCCCAAACCCCCTGATTCCCGCCAACTTTCCCGCCAACTCAATTCATATTGACTTCATGTCATTTATGGAAATGTCTATTTGCTGAAAAGAACCTTGGGACCTAGATAAGTAACCTAGATTAACCACGTAAGAACATTATCGATGAATTTTGGTGATTTTTACCAGATTATTTTTATTCCAAGTCCATACAGAGCTTGCTGTGGGTCCTGTGGGCCCTAATGACCCACTATGGAGCTATTCTAGCGTTTCTGATAGGTGTTGGCCAAAGCTTGCTCGTTTGGGCTACATAGGGGGTCTTACCACCAAAAATCGGCACCAAATCATCCCTAGACGTCGAAATATCGCCTGGAAGCTGAGATGGCCGAGTGGTTAAGGCGGTAGACTTAAGGACACACGCATTGCCGTGTGTACAACAAGAGTTCTACTGACGAAAGTCGCGCGAGTTCGAACCTCGTTCTCAGCAGTTTTTTGACCTTTTTGGGCTATACCCCCTACCAGAGCACCCAATTGCCTTCTATAATGACAAAGGGGACCTGTATTATGTCCTGCGGCCTTTTTGGCTGAAATTTTGGTTAGGGGGGTAGGTGGCCGTTTTGTTGGAAATCCCGCCTGGGGTTGGCAGTACATGATACCAATTGCGGCATACCGAGAAATAGGGCTTGTATTAGCACTAGGGGAATTATTGGCAAGTAATAAAGTCGTTGGTTAATTTTCGCATCGAGCGTGTCAATTGCGGCGAGGTCATGACCACAGGAATATTTTGAGCCTCAGAGCAAAATCCTAAGTGAATTGTTTGCGTACAGGAAACGATGACGCAAGCGGACACGTCGGAGCCATCATAAAATTTCCGGAACTAGGTATTCATTTTATTTGTCGCATCTATTCGTCATTCTATTTCTTCATATATAAACATAGTTTTTGTCTAGCGTATAGGAAGGGTGGTTTTTCCCGCCTTTCTACTTTCCTTGATGAAGTCCGCAGCCCTCTCGGCGACGGCGTACACCGTCGTCTGAATATTACCAAGCGGTTCCAGGGGAATCATACTAGCGTCGATAATGCGAATATTGGAGGTCCCGTGCACGATGAGGCGCTCGTCGACGACGCCGCCCAGCTCCCTCGGCAACATGCGGCAGGTGCCAGCGATGTGGAAGCAGGATACCGATCGTCCGCGCACGATCTCCTTCGCCACCTCCAGGTCGTCGCCGGTCGCGTCGGGCAGACGCTTGAGCTCCGGGTCGATCAAGTCCTTGTAAGGGGGCGTGTTGACGATCTTCTCGACAAAGCCGACCGTGCGCGCCATGATCTCGAGATCCAGCGGATGCGTGCAGTAATTGGGGTTCCAGGTCGGCGGCACCGACACGTCCTTGGAGGAGATGTGTACGTTTCCTCGCGAGAAGGGGTGGTTGAATAGAGAGAGGATACCGATGCAATCGTACGGCGCGTGAGACGTGAACATGTCGGTCAGCGTGTCCGGATGGGGGGTCACGGTAAGGGAGCCCGGGAAGCACAGGTATTGGATGGCGGGCTCCATTTCGGATTCGAGAAGCTCGCGTATCAGCTTGTACTCGCGCTTCTGCACTGGGCTTAGCGTAGGGACGCTGGTAAGATACTTGTCGAAGAGAGCCTTGCGGTCGGCCTGGGTCATAACACCGTTGCGGTCTGCCAGTGGTACGTAGGCGACACTGGTTCCCATGCCAGAGAGCGGACCCTGCTTCGTCGATGCGTACTGCTCAAAGGCGCTCTTGAACTTCTCGGGATCACGTAGTCCGTCCGCGGACGGGTACCCCTTCTTTACGGGGAACTGCTGTGAAGTCATGAGATGATCCTGCATATGCTCGCCAACGTTGGGGTTGTCGATCAACACGTCGATTCCGAGGCTTTCGAGTAGATCGCGGTCGCCAATGCCGGATAATTCCAGTAGTTGCGGTGTTCGGATAGTTCCTGCGGCCAGGATCACTTCCTTGTTGGCCTTAAGAGTTGTGACTTTGCCGTCCTTGTCCTTCACTTCCACGCCCGTCGCAACGACTAGGCCATCTCGGGTTTCTGTGGTGATCTTCTGCACTGTCGTTTCCGTAAATACGTTAAAGTTCGATCGCTTGGCGACTTCCTCCGTGTAGTATGCGGTGACGGAGGAACTACGAGTATTCTTCCCACTTTCGATGGTTGATGAGTTCTGGAACGCGCCAATAGCCCTGCCGGTCCTGGGATCCGTCTTCATCTCTAGTCCTAGCTCGGCGAAGGTCTTGAACCATCTCTCGTTCATGACTGAATATTGGTCGTCGAAGGAGAGCTGAACAGGGCCGTTGCCCGTCAGGTCTTCCTGGTAGTAGGCTAGACCTCCTAGTGTTTCTCGGATTGCTTTGCTTGGGGGATGCGATGTGGAAAACTTCTGGAAGTAAGGAGCGAGATCGTCGAAAGTCCATCCTTTATTACCCATCTTGCCCCATGTGTCTAGGTTCGTTCGAGAGGGAAACATGGCCATCATGAAATTGGTCAACGAACTGCCGCCCAGGACCTTTCCGGTGTCCTGCCGGAGGTGGCGGCCATTCAACTCTGTCTAATCACAATAAACATGTCAGTAATTCCAGCTGCATAACAGGTGGTTATCGGTAGTAAAGGCTTTCGTACTTGCGCCGTTGACCGGAATGGCCAGATGAAGCGATCGTCGGCGTAGGCACCAGCGACAAGACCCGGGGTTTCCAGAGAGGGATCTTTTCTCTTGTCGGCTCCGGCCTCAATAACCAGAACGCGGACATCAGGATCCTCGGTCAGGCGGGTTCCCACCACAAGCCCTGATGTGCCGCCACCAACGACGATGTAGTCATATGATTCACTCATTTTTCCAGCGAGATGTCTAAATAATAATGATTGATTCTAATTCAAAAGATTCGTTATGGAAACAAAAGAAAAAGGGTCTGGGAAAGTCGAGGGGAAATCTGCGACTTGAACATGAGGGACACGCATTTTTACTAGTACTGTAAGCTGACACGATGCCGGCAAGGGTTTGGATGCCGCATCTTCAATGCGGCAGCTCTAATCACTAATAGTGCGTGGTGTAGCTTACTGGCCCTATCTTCATGACATGCGATGTCACCTCACCGGTCTAGGTAGGTAGCTGCCGATCCATACCGCTGGAAGACCTTCAAATGGGTTCTAACAGCACAACTCTGTTTCTCTTACTTCCTAATTCTGAAGATCTTCAGGGTCTCTCGAATAGGTAGTCAGCACTACCGAGTGCAGTGTAACGTTTGCGATGTTCACGCTTAGCTATATCCATAAGGAGCTACAGGCTTAGGAGCTCTCGGAAGCAACATGGAGGGGTATTTTTTAGTCTATCTTGTATGAGGGGTAAAATGTGAAATAACCATTCGATGTGGGCTGAGTCCCGAATGATAAGGATCACAAGTGCCTGGTATTCGGACTGTTCGGACCGAGTATAGGATTCTACGTAGTATTTAGCATCCAAATAATAACACGAGAACGAAACGGCGGATTCGCTTATAGATGACTACTTCGCAAATTATCGCAAGTTCGCATTCCATAATTACTTCATCATATTTGCGTGCAATGGTTCAAATGAAACGACGTAGGCTATTGAGTTATCTCAAGAGCGACAAATTACTTCAAGTTCCGGGCACCTCCGATCTAATTCGTCGTCGCATGCCACCGCCTCCCAGTCGATCACACCTTGAACGACGCCGATCTCGAAACTCGATTTCCTTTTGATAATGTCCGAGCGAGCTAATTGGCTATTCTTCTCGTGAAAATCGGTAAGATAAGTCTGGGACTTGGTCTGCTGGCATGGGATGGCCCTTCGAATATTTACGGCGCAACGAAACCTCTCCATTTCCTGCATCAGTATCAAAATGGTGTTAATGTAATGCCCCAAAGTCCCTCGTGCTATGTCCGCATCCACGCAAAATCCTTCGACTACAGAACCTATGCAAGCCATCACAACGACCTTATGCGTACTTGTGGTAATTCTTATGCCACCAGACATGCCAAGGAGACACCTTAAAGCGCCATGCATAGCTAGATTGTGGTCTAGACCTCCATGCTATTCCTGCAATGGCTTCATCTGAGAGAAGAAAAGAGCTATTAGTTCGGTTGGTGCATATTAAACATTGTCCGAAATCCTTATCTTAGGAAATTGTTAAGATGACCTTCTTGATGGTCAGAAGGGTAGAGTACAGAGCGTCTTGAGAGATATCGACTGAACCTTTGCATATATATCAGGTCTGTTGAGAAAGTAGAACCGTTAAGTGAGGGTTGTTAGAATTCCAAGGTCATGGCATTTTGAGATAGGGGTCTACATCTATAAGCAACGTTGAAGCAGAATACAAAGTGGTATTAAGAGTCGGGAAAGTAATATGAATAAAATTACATGAATGTTTTTCTACCTGACGTTAGTCCGAGGCCTCATAATGCCTCTTACTATATATCAAGAACAAGGACAGATTCAGCCAAGCACGTAGAACATTCCTTTGCATTGAAAATTACCTTAAAAATAAATCAAATCTTGATGACTCCTTTAGCTATTTAATGTGCCTTATGACATTAATATCGTGACACCGGCTACCTGGGACGAGGTGCGGATTTAAGGGCATTGGAAGCTCGGCGTTAGCAAAGCTCACAGGCCCTTTGGCGGCTGCGAGTGATCCCGCAGCCCGTCGGACCCTGCAAACACCGTCCCGCCCTCGGTTGCATCACCGTGCAGGCCGGTGCTAAGCTGGCGAGCTTTCCAAATTTTGGCGCAGAATTCTCAACCAATATCATCAGCGACCTCATTGTCGCGTCACCGTTCTTATTCTAATCTACAGTGACTACACCCATTCGTGTGATTTGCGACACTTTTTCAGAGTGTATCATTTTCTTTTTAGGCACTTGCAAACTTCGTGGATTAGCTTGTACCCTAAGCTTTTTTTCTGCTTTTGGCGGTCACGCGATAATCCCACGGCTGTAAATGCGCTGACGCTCAAAGGTATCTGACACCTTTACCGACAAACCCCCAGCTTCCTCCGAGTACGTCGAGCATTCGACTGCGAACCACGAACCGACTATTTGGGAGGAAAAGGGGAAACACGATGATACGGGCCTACCTTCGCAATCTCCGCCCTGTTCTGCAGCCACACGGAAATACCGTCGGTCTACGGAATGCGCTCGGCTTAGAAGCGCAACCCCTACGACGGGCCTTCGCTTCGATAACACAGCCGACTCTAGAATTACCAATCTCGAGGGCCGCCCGAAAAATCAACTACAGACCGAGAATTTTAAACACTGTCAATAAATCCTACCAATCCCCTTTGCGAACGAATAAGCGATCGTTCCACAAGACCTCACGGTTACGAGACTCAAAGCCCGATGCAAGCAAGCCCAATACGCAAGAACCACAAGGATTGTCGGCGAGGCTCAAGAAGCTATCCAGGGAATATGGTTGGGCTGCCGTGGGCGTGTATTTCGCCC